TGGGGGGTTGGGTGGCTTGTGCATGGAGCGGAGAGGCGGGACACAGAGAAGCTGATCCCGGAACAGGGCCGACCCACAGGATGGAAGATAGGGGTGGCGGTCAGGGCAAGGAAGCATTTATTTTTTAAGATGGGTAGTTAGAAAGGGGAAAAAAATCCCCAAGGTCTGGTTAGTGTGCCCACCCAGCACGGCTCCCTCCTGCCAGTCCATCCACCCAAGTGCTCGTCTCCATCGCTGGCCTGCCTTGCCAAGTGCTCTGTGATCAGAGTGACATGTTTCCCGAGCCAGAAATAAATCATAGTTATCATTCTTCAGCCTTAATCCAAAGACTGGGCTCTCCCTGCTTCTGGTCCCCACGAGGTCCTGCTACTGCCTCCGTTCCTCTCCTGCCCCACCCCCGCTCCAGCACAGGTCCCAGGACACTGGCCGGTCCCTCTCTGCCCACAGTGTCTGTCCCCCCAGCCTGAGGGCTCCTCCAGGAGACTGAGATTGGTCCCCATCCCAATTCCAGGTTCAGGACAGGGCCCGCCACATGGTGTGTGTGTGTGCGTGTTTGGGTGGGGCGGGGGTGGGGGGCTGCCAGCTCCTGGGGACCCAGGGAGCTTGTGGTCTGCACAGGTGCTGAAGGTGAGGCTCCCAGGGGGACCACCATGAGGTCTTGGTCACAGCCAAACTTGGGCCCAGGGATCACCACGAGGTCTTGGTCACAGCCAAACTTGGGCCCAGGGATCTCCCTCCCAGCCTAGAGCCTCCCAGCCTGGCCCCTGACCTAGAGGCCAGGGCTCCAGCCCAAGCAAGACCCCCGCACACCTTCACCCAGGGAACAAATTCAGGTGACTTTCATCACACATTTCTGCTCCCGGGACTGCCCCACCCTTCACGGGACCAACCCCTCTTTTCAAAGTTTCAGCAAAGAAGACACAAGCTTGCTCGTGCTTGCTTACCAGGTCGGTAAGCACAAACAGCCTCTGCGGAGCTTGCTTCGTGGCCATCCGCCCAGCAGGGCCCCTTCTTCCCACCCCTGGGCCGGTGGTCCCACATACCCTGGTGTGGGCTCCAGCCCTGACGTCTTCACGGGGACCTGGTCCCCTTCCCCAGACATCCTCCGACCAGATGCGGCTCTGCTCTGAGCTCCCCGCTGGCCCGCACTCCTCAGCGCCCTCCCCAGAAGCCGAAGAGCTCGGTCGCCCCTCCCCGCATCCCTCCCCCACCCCTGAGGGCTCCTGAGAGCACCCGACAGTGGATTGAGGTGGGGGTGACTTCACAGGTGTGACGACCCACGGATCCAGGAACACCCACCCGCCTCCCAACAAACCAGGTATCTCCTGCCCTCCAGGCCCCGCCCCCTCTCTCCCGCCCTCCTTCAAAGCTGGCCTGGGAACAGGTTGGGCCACTCCTGCTGGCTGCCTCAGGCTGCTTCTGCCAGCCTGCTGGGAGGGGTCCGTAGGATACCGTGGCCTTGGAGGGGGCTGCAGGGGTGTAGATCGTCCTGGGGGACACCGTCAGAGGGGGTGACACCAAGCGTTTCATTAGGGGGAAAAAAGGGATACAAATATCGCTGTAGTTAAGTATCACAACAGAAACATGTTTGCTAGCCCAGTTGGCATGCCTCGGTCTTGGCCAGAGCTACAGTTCTGTGCCCGCTTGCTTCCTGCGCCTGCTGATGTGCACAGGGCAGTGCTGCCTTGCTCTCGGATATGGCAAGGCTTCGGGGTGGGGGTGGGGTGCTTCCTCTGCACCCGCTGTCATTTTTGTTGCCGCTGTTGGTATGGTCACTGATTCTCTCTTAATTTCCGGTTGTGCAGCCACAAGACTGTAGCCACTGGGATTCGTGAACCTGGGTCACTAACCTGGGTCATTTTGAGAATGAAGCCCGAAAGAAGTCTTGGGGGATTTGGGGTTTGTTTGTGTTTTTTTAACCGTGATAAAATATACATTTCTTTACTTTGCTGAATCAGAAGGGCATAAAAAAATTATTGCTAAAGTCGACATCAGGCAAACCGAAAGGTGCTTCATAGTCCAGTTACCGTGGAGTTTATTTAAACGAAGAGAAAAGGTCATAATGCTTTCATGCAATACATACTCACTTCTTTAAATAACAATGATGACGAATAGCAGGAGTTAAGGAATGCTGTACTTGTGATCCGTACAAAACACCAACATTTTGGGTTGTACATAATTAGGGAACTATCTCAAACACTTTTCAAAATACTGTTATAGCCCATACATAGAGGCATGCCTTTAAGTGGGCATAGGAATTCAGTTTAGAAAAGGAAAAACAACAACAAAAACGATTCAATTTCTTTAAAATCAGGGAGCAAGAAAATCAACATTGAATTTCACAGACTGATTTTGTACAACTTCTATACAGTACCTTGACTTAAATCCAAGAGCAAAAGTTAAGACTCTTCTCCTCTATTTTTGGTAAACAACTGCATGGTAAACGTGGGTAACTTCCCCCCAGGATTTTTTAATTTTTTATTTAAACGAGGGCAGGTTTGGCACTTTTATACTGATGTCACCAATGTTAATATTTCTTGGGATCTCAGGAAGATTCATATTCTTTACAGCTGATACCGCGTGGGCTGGAGCTCCTGCTAAGCCAGCCTCAGATTTCTCCAGTTTACTTTGTGCATCAGTTTGTGTAACAATCTCATTCATGTTGGTCTCCAATACCATTCCCCCCATCACCATTTCTGCAAGAATATTGTGAACCTGTACCCTCATGGTATTGCTACTCCCATTAATTTTCCTGGTCATCAATGCTTTCTTATCTACCTGGAAAATTAAATCCAGTTCACAGACATTTTCAAAACACTTGTCTAATGTTTCCACGAATACTTGAATTAGATCTAAAATGCCAAGTTCACTTTCTGAAGAATCCACACAGAAGACTAAATATAATGTTGCATAATGTCTATATATTAGTTTGTTGTCAGATCCTCCTATTAACAATCCTCCTTCTAGGAAATTACAATTTCATCTCTCTTAGATACCAAATGGAATGTCTCCCTGATGATTTGTTGTTGTGTATCTTCACTGTAGGGCTGGTAGGACTTGGAGAGCCGCGGCTTGCAGTGGTTGTTGAGGATGAGGATAACCTTGATCATGGCTGGGCCGGGCCGGGCCGCCCGGGTGGGCGCTAGAGGGCCACCTGGGATTTTGGTTTTTAAACACCCGGTCGACAGGGATTGGAAAGGATCCCGGCGCATGGCCTTGACAAGCATCCTTGAGATAGGAGGGGAGCCACGCTGCCCGAGTGGGTTGAAAGCCAGGACGTGGGCTGGCAGAGAGAGTCCGTGGTGTAGACTGGCTTCCACACTGGGAGGTCCTTCTGCTCCTGGGGCCTGGTCAAAACACAGATTGAATCCAGGAGGACAGGCTGGGGCCCCTTCCAATGCATGGCAGAGTGGCCTGCCCAACGTTGTGGTCCAGACCTGCTGCTCACCCGGGAGCTACAAAGTCCAGCATGGGTTTCCGAAGATCAGCACTGCTGACCCCGGGGAAGGACTAACCCCTGTGGGGAGGGCCGCCCTGGGTACCCAGAGATGTTCAGTAACGCCCCTGACAACTACCCTCCCAGATTTGACAACATAGTGTCCCCAGACCTGTCAAAGCTCCCCAGGGGCCAACATGGAACCACTGCTGGTGTGGACAGTGGACTTCTGCAGATAAAGAGGGGCCAAGAAACAGGGTGCTGGCTACAAGGTGTGGGAATTGTAGCAGGGAAGTTCAGGGGTGAACCTGGGGGCCTAGGGGAATGACCCAGGGGTAAGGGTCTTGTCCAGGGGGAGGGTTGAGTGTGGAGGGAGGCAGGGGCTGGCACATGTGGGTGGGAAGATGGCAGCTTCCTCTGGGGACTTCTGAGCTGGCCTCTCTGAAGTAACCACCAGCTGAGAGAGGGGACAAAAGGGGGTTGGAGGTGGGAAAAGGGGCTTCTGGGAGGACACAGAGTGGACTCCAATCAAGGTCCCTGAGGTGTGGCCAGGCCTCCCCAGAAGGACCTGACAGACCACCCCCCTCCCTGTGACATGGGAGGCCAGAGGAAGGGCAGGAATTCTTCTTGAGGTGGCTGGGAAAGCAGGTATCCTAGGTTTGGCCCCCAAGCCTCGAGTTGACATGAGATTTTGTAACCCCACAGTACTGTCAAGTCATGTATTGATTTTTTGACCGCTGCTTCTAGCTTTACGATTAGCACCTGAAGGATCTTTCAGCAGCGACTCATTAATCACTTTCACTTCAACAAGACTCGGCAGGCTACTCCAGGATTTCTTAAGCCTTCCCCACTCTGAACATCACCTGAAATCTGGTTTGACGGCAGGTTTCAGCCGCCCCACCCAACCTGAGCTTTGGCCCTGGCAGGTTTAAGGCAGCCAGTATCAGCATTGCTAACCCCAGATGAACTGAGATCTTATTGAATGACACACACCTAGGGGAAGTGTCCCTGTGCAGACTAGGCCCCATGCAGGCCAATCACTTGAAAACAAAGGTCGCCTGGTGACACAGTGCTTACGCACCGCACCAAAGGTCCAAAGCCTTCAAAGGTATCAGCTGATCAGGGAGAAAGACAGGGCTTTCTACTCGCACGACAGTCACAGCCTTGGAAACCCACAGGGCTAGTTCTCCTGCCCCATGTCCTCACTGTGAGGCAGACCTGACCAGAGGTCAGTGGGTCTGTTTGTTGTTTATTTGTTTTGAGAATGAAGGGAGAATCAGTGCTGAGCTAATGGGTATGTTAAAGGGGAAAGCGATTTTGAATGAGTAATGAGTCCGTGCTGAGAGATCATTAAGGTGCTAATCGTAAAACTAGAAGCAGCGGCCAAGAAGTCAATCCATGACTCAACAGCACTGTGGGGTTACAGACTCTCGTGTCAATGGGAGAATTGTGGTAGTGGGGGACTGCGTTGCCCCTCTCCCCTATAAAAATGAAGAAAAAAAAGAGTGAAGGGGTGAAAAAAGTGGGATGTGGGAGAAAGGAAGAAGGGGGAACCAATCTAGGGACAAGAGAACAAGTGAACTAAAATCAATGGAGAGAAAGGCGTAGGATGGCTAGTGGAGCTTAATCAAGGGCAATGTTAGCAGTGAGGAATTAATAAACCCGAATGAAGGCCAAACATGATGGTGGGACAAGAGGAAAGTAAAAGGAAATAGAAGAAAGAACTAGGAGGCAAAGGACATTTATAGAGGTCTAAATACAGGCATGTACATATGTAAGTATATTTATATGTAACAAGAGGGAAATAGATCTATGTACTTATATCTATATGTTAAGAATTAAGGCAGAAGATGGACATTGGGCCTCCACTCAAGTACTCCCTCAATGCAAGAACATATTGTTCTATTAAACTGGCATTCCATGGTGCTCACTTTCCAGACACTCGCTGAAGACAAATTGGGTGCATAAGCAAATGTGGTGAAGAAAGCTGATGATGCCCGGCTATCAAAAGATATAGCGTCTGGGGTCTTAAAGGCTTGAAGGTAACAAGCGGCTAACAAGAAGCACACCAGCCTGTGTGATCATGAGGTGTTGATGGGACCAGGTATCAGGCATCTAAGACCCAGAACAAAATCATACCAATGTGAATTGCAGGGGGGAAGACACCATACAGTGGAGACCCAAAGCATATCTGTAGGCAATTGGAAGGGTCATGAGGAAGAGATGAGCCAATCAGGGTGCATTATAGCACCAATGAAACACAGCTTTCCTCTAGTTCTTAATGCTTCTTCCCTCCACTATCATGGCCTCAATGTTCTCTTACAAATTGGATTAGATAAGATTAGCAATTATCTGCTACAGATAAGAGCCCAAACACAGGGAATCCAATATAGATAAACCCCTCAGGGTCGACAATGAGAATAGAGATACCAGGAGGATAAGGGGAAGATGGGGGAGAAAAGGGGAATCTATCACAAGGATCAACATAAAACGCCCTCCCAGGGGATGAACAACAGAAAAGTGGGTGAGGGGCGACAGAGGACGCTGTAAGATATGAAAATAATAATCTGTAACTTATCAAGGGTTCATGAGGGGGACAGGGGAGTGAAGGGGGAAAACGAGGAGTTGATATCAAGGGCCCAAGTAGAAAGAAAATGCTTTCTGTGGACCAACTGCTCTAATTAGGTCATCATCCTCAAGGGCTGGTGGGCCAGGCCCCTTGCTGACCCATGGCCCTGCGGGGGACAACACCGGAGACACAGTGTGGGAATTGCACCCAATCTGATCCTGCCTCACTGAGGCAGAGCACTGGGGGAGTGCAGCGGAACAGCAGGGGAGAGGAGCAGCAAGATCGCCAGGGAATGATGAGGGTGGACATTGGGGACAGGGCGTGGTGCCCCAGCGGATTGGACTGGGAAACACTCTTAAAGGCCAGCGATCCTTGAACTAACTGCAAGCTTTTCTTTCTTGGTATATTTTAATTTGTTCTTT